GGATATGTCCAGTCGAGTGCCCAGCACTTTAAACTGACGTCCAAAGCTTACCCGTAAAACGGGGGGTCTCTATCCGAGACGATTGCCACAGGCAATTCGTGTTGGCGAAACACACGATCCATGAACAGCTTAGCTGTTCCCTCTACATCAATAGATTCCGGCACTGCTGCTAAATGAACCACCTTGCTCAGTCGGTCAACAAGACTACAATCCCAGTGTTGCTGCCGCATCACGCGGTAGGCCAAACTCAAAGTCCATACTAACGGGCTACCACTACCCCGAGGGTACAGGTAAACTCTCCAAAGACGCAGCCATACAAGCGAGGGCTTCACTCTTTGACACGTTTCACACGTGCGTACATATTTACCAACACATTTATACAACTTGGGCCACCAATAATGGGTGCTCATCGAGGTGTAGGTCTTTTCACGACCTAAATGACCACCAAGTGGTGTATCATGAGCCTCATAAAGTATCTGATACTTGAGGTCCTCATCATGAGGCACCACAACACGAGACTGGTCATCCGACCCTGTACTATAGTACAACATACCATCGGTCAGTGCATAACGGTGTAATCTCGCATGATTACGTGGTGACAACTTCACCTTATAGTTTCCAATCTCTGCGCTACCCAGCGCCTGCATAATGTCAACACATGCCTCATCACGTGCATGCGCCAAACGAATACAATTCGTTACTGACGAACTCACAACAGTGATATGAGCAAGCTCATAGTCAGGTATACGCGATAACGCGTCAGCCAAAACATTCTGTTTTCCCGGCTTATACTTCACCTCGAAGATATACTCCGCGAAAAGAAGAACCAACGAGCCATTCTCTGCGAGAGATGAGGCGAATGTGTCGCTGTGCGTAACGACGCATGATCTGTATAGACAACAAACGGCTTTGATCCCAACAGGTGTACCCTGAGCTTAATAAGGGCATAATCTATCGCAAGTAGCTCCTTGTCATGAACTGGATCGTTCTTATCTGCAGCTTTTAACTGGCGAGACTCAAACGCGATGACGCGTTCTAGACCTAAGCGTTCACTTACAAAAGATCACTGCCAATGGAAAATTCCGAAGAGTCACACACGACGCTAAACAGACGATCAGGATCAGGCAAAGCCAGAATTGGCGCCAGAAGGAGACTCATCATAATGGCTTCAAAAGCCTCGTGGTGCTCGGTATTTCCAATCCACATCCTTTCAAGGAGATTTGATAATGGCCTAGCCACTTTTGCATAGTTGTGGCTATACTTGTGCAAGTAATTTGCCAAGCCCTACCACTTGCGGAGGTCCTTCTGGTTCCTCGGAACCGGCCAATCCAGTATGGCTTTGACCTTAACAGGGTCTGCCCTCGCTTCCCAATGAAGCATCCCAACAAGGGAATTTCTTCCGCACCGAAGATGCATTTGTCAATATTGCACATAACTAATGCATCTTCATACAACCAAGCACAGGTGTCCGATGTGGTTCTCCACATCAGTCTTGCCATTTTCGGCTCGACTATGGACGATATATCGTCAAAGTATGTCTGTGCATACGCCCTATGGAGCCGAAACAACTGCGTCACTCGACGATTGCACGTTGCAGGTGCGTTAGACAGCTCTTGGGACATCGCTAACCACTCCCAGAGCATACTGCTCGGAGTGCTGACCGCTGTCAGCGAGATATCACTAGCTCGCAAGAGCAGTTGGTAATACCCATCGTGAGCAATGTACATCGTACATCCCACCATATTGTTCTGAAAACATCCTTGCGAGGAATTGGTGTTTGAGTCGGGATAGTGGCTGCATTCAGCTTATTGTAATCATGTACTATTCGCCACTTATCCGACGCATCAGCGTCCACAGGTGTACACGCCTCAGGTCAAAGACCACTTCTTTTAATGACTGCACCCCATCCTCTTGGGGCAAGGCCTCGTCATGAGGTGTTCCCACCTCGTTGTCCACAAAGATAACATCCATGGTAGACTTCACCCAACCCTCTTGATCCAGTACCTCGTCACTAGATGCATGCACCTCGTTGTCCTCAAAGACAACATCCAATTGATGACTTCACCCGACACTCCAGGCAGTACCTCGTCACTTATGTCACTTGGACTCGTGTCCTGACATCTTGGCTTGCAGCCACCAACACCACTCACGGTGTTTAATGATGTAACATCATTCTTCTGACACATGTTCATATGTGCCATCTGGTGGGTTCTCAACCACACTATCGACAGGCATTGGGTCTCGACCAGGGCTATTGTCCTCGACACTTACAGTGTCTGCCAAGTTGGATATTCCGACATCCAACATATTGACCGACTCGGTCCAATATCCGCTCCAAAAGCGCTTTTTCTTTCTAGCAGAGGTGGGTTCATGACTCTCCAGAGCCTCACCAGGAGCATTGCGCGTTGCGCCTAAGGTCTTCGACCTCCAATCAACCCATGGCTCATGATGTTCTAGCCATGCCAGACCTAGGATGAGGTCATACCTCGCATCCAGGTCTAAGACCAAACAGCGTTCCATGCTGTTATATTCCAAGAACTTTACATTTAAGTCCATCGGGACTTTGGGTACCGTAACACGCGTACCCGTCGCTAAGCGAACTGTGACTGTGTCACTCTCACGCTCTAAGCGCTTCAGAATACTTCTGACTACCTTCCGCGGTGGCACGACGCACATAATTGCAGATGCCCCCGAATCGATCAAAATGATCGATGGCTTATCAAATCCCCTCGTCCCTTCGACTACTAGCAAGCCTGTCTTGCATTCTCGTTCCGTTTTTGAGCGTTCGGGTCTCTTTGGGGCTGGTCTCTGTTTACTTCTACCTCCTAGAGGCTCAAACAAAACTCAGTTCTTCCCCAGTAGGGCGACCGCGCCTACTGGGTCACACCGTTTTTCCGCGGCAAAATAGAGATTTTACACATGGGGCGTCGGCCCTTCGAGGCCATATGTGCCTTTCTTGCAGGGCATTTTGCCATCAAATAACCTGTGCTCTTGCTGATATAACATTTGCGCACAATTAGCTGCTCCGCAGCTTGAAGCTCAGCCTCTTCATCCTCCACTTGACTACAGTCCATGGGTACAGACACATTAGACGAGTAGTTATAAGTGGCAGGCCTAACGGCCTTAAAGTTGGTCTCGGCATTCCATGCCGCTCTAACAGCTTCCTCGAATGAGGACGGTTTTACCCGGGAGACTTCGGTTCTGGCAACGCTAACTCGGAGGCCCTTCATGACGACCGTGACGGTCACTGCCTCAGGCATAGGGTTTATGACCATGGCAGCAATAAGAGCTCTTAACCATTTGCACATATGCCGCAAGCTCATGCTTGCCTTGGCGACACGCCAAAGATCGCGACCGGTTACGGTGTGCTTGGTTTGGCGGTGCATACTGCCGGGTCATCCGAACTTTCAGATCGGCCCATGTTGGAAATGCATCCTGCTGTGATGCACCGCATGTGAACGCTATTGCTTGGCTAATCCACCCAACTTATCCGTGGCAAAGCCCCCTACACGGTACGGTTCATAGGTGATGTCAGCTATAAACATAGCCGACTCAACCTGTCGGAACCACAGCATAAGGCTGCCACCTTCCTTGCACTCGAGCTTATCGACTTCCATATGTATGGGTTTTGGTCTGCGGGCCACTTTTTTGCGCCATAGTTGCCATAGGCAAAGGCGCAGAAGAAGGCATCTGTGCCCTTACATGCTCGACTAGAGCTTTTTTATTATACTCTTCAAGCATAATAATACGCCTGTTAACCTCTTCTTCGCCCTGGTCAATGAGATACTTCACGCCCTTCAAGCCAAGGATAAAGAGCAGCTTCTGCAACCCTTCCTGTTGTGCCTGTGACAGGCCAACCGCTGACATCTCATCGCTGCCATTCTCACACAGAGAAGTAGCCGCAGACCCAGGTGCGGGATTGACTACGAGTGCTACGAGGTGTAGCCGAGCAGCTGTAGCCAATCTACCTATGCACTATGTGCAGAAGAAGACAAGCTAAGAGAGCTTATATGTCTTAGGGTGCTTAACCCTCTCCAAGGCTAGCTTAACAAGCTTACCTTTGGTTGAAAGCAACCGCGTCTCCAAGACACTAGTATCAAAATTACAATTCCGATACGGAAGAGAACGCTCTAGCAACTAGTGCTATACAGAGCCGGTTTGAAACCGATTTAATTCATGTTTATCTTCTAGCACTAAATATAGAAGCACCTACTCTATACTTAGTAGCTCTGTAGCCCAATATTATTATGCAAACATGCATAGTCACTATACTTAACAAAGTATAGTGACCACGTGGCTCTCTGCCCCCTTCATACCTTAGGTACGGTCACATCGAGCCTACTCTTGTACCCAAGGTATAGCCACACCACATTGGTGTGGCAGGTGTGTATGTAAAATACACAACCCCGTTACAGCAGAAGACGTCTTGGAGTGGCATTGCGAGACTAATGCGCGACATACTCAGTATGACGCCTGTTTCTTGCGCGAGTTGTTTGCAGCCATTGACGCCCAGCCGTTTGTTGAGATGCCTCGTGTGTAACTTAAAAAGCCGGAGTTTAGCTCGATCATGAGTAGTCTGTCGATATCTATTTAGCCGCCAGCCGAGGGCAACGCTATGGGCGCGGCTGTGTAAGGACTGGCTGGATACGTTGTATTATAAACAGTTGCCCTAGCAATTCTTTCGATACTTGGTGGTGGAAGCTGCTTATGGACACACTGCTGACCCAAGTGTCGCGGTTTGCTTATAATTAAGGAATGGATGCTGAGGAGTCCTTTCCAGAGTTTGCATTAAGATGTGCAGTGCTGTGTATCGATTGGAAATGTTAGGAGGTTCCATCCTGCATTACAACGACTACACGTTCTACCTTGACAATCTAGTTATGAACGATGTAAACAAGTATTCTAAGTAGGACGTGGCCGTGTTTTTTTCTTTATTACTTCCATTGGTTTCACTGATTATCAAAATCACGGAACAATGCGACGATAAGCTATTCACCATTTCACCCCCACAAACTGGTTGGATTGAGTCGTGGCGTCACTTTGTCAAGTGCACTCGCGCGAAGACCGCGAGGCATGAACACACGCGCGATTGGCAATATGTTTGGCTCTCCAAAAGCAATCATACGCTTAACCCAGGGATTATCATCCAAAGCACGCAACTTGTACCCCACCGTTACCGATTCCGGCAATGAACACACCAGACACGATGTACCTAATCGAGCTGCGTTCTCTTGGGGCTTAATGTAGTCGATTACAGCTTCTTTGAACCTTTTCGCAGTCACTACGGCGGGCAACGCAAGTGGATCAGTTGGTAAGGATTCCGCTCCTGGAGCCTCCGCATCGGCTCGAGCAGTTTCAATCGCTCGAATGAATTCATCGACATGTTGCCACCATAATATAACGGGAGGATGACCAAGTTGCATGATTTCATCGTAGAGATGGGTTTCTTCATTTTCCTGTAACACGTCTTCAAGCTGAGCATCTGCATTCATCATATTTTTATTCTTCTTTGGGTCAGATTGGCTACTGCGTGATTGAAGTGAAAGAAAATTCTATTGGACATGCTAACTACATATTGGGACCAGCACTGAAATAATGGGACGGTACATTTTGGTCGGAGCATATGATGACAAATATGATTTCATCAGTGATCAACTACAAGCAAAATCAACCAGTAAAACAAGGCGATATAACGGCAATGCTGTATTTATCACATGTAAAGCCGACAAATTACCTCGCGAACGAACTAACTTCTCCGGTATACACCTTTGGACGTGACCGAGTTTTGGCACAACTGATTGTTTGTGTGATGGTAGCTGATTCAGATCGAACTCCATCACCAGTCAACAACTCTTACTTCTGTGAGGGTCAGCGTGCACGGTAATGCATTGCATACAGTTATTGGATACGCATGACATCGACTGCAAGTCTCAGATCAAATGCCACAACAAATTGTAGATCGTTATTATCTAGGGACATCGTAAGTGTAGTGAGCTTGCCAGAAATTACCTCCTCATTAAACTTTGGATTCCACCGTCGCTACACATTACGTTGACCTTTTTCTCCGTTCATGTACTTTGTCGAGCTGATTTGATGGCAATGTTATCGCGTTGCGCAATGGCGTTAAAGTCAGTTTATTTGTTTGTTGTTTTCAACCATCCTGCACATGACCCCTCGTATAGACCTCCCTCCATACTCATGCAGCTGTATGTCACTTCCACGTGCTCGCGAAAATCAATCAATCCTTATCCCTCAGTGCGGTTTCGTGGAGCCAGTACCTCAAATTGATCCTAAACCACTTTTTTCGCGAATAAAGCTGAACAAGCAGTAAGTGTGATGCATACGGTACTCAAGTAGCTGAATAGGCTTCATAATATGACACCAAGTTGTTAGCAGTGCCTCTTTGATACGACTGACTGCTGTCTTCATAACCCGGCCTCTAGAGCACAAGCATATAAGACAAGCGGTAGCTGACTGCATATTGTGAGCTGGATTCATCTCAGCATTGAGCTTAACGTTTTGCTTGGTCACATATAGCGGTGTTACAATCGACATGATGGTAACGGACCCAAAAACTAGACCGAAAGGTGCTGGTCGTGAAAGTTCAGTTGGACGCAATAATTATATCATGCTTTCTTCGACTTAATAAATTTATAAACTCATTCTGTACGCAGAAGAATAAATTGCTGAACCCAGATGCTATGCATTAAACGTGCTCGTGGTCCTAGTAGGCGTAAGGTTTGAAGTGCAATGCCAACTAGAAAACGAGCGTGACTCGCGACTGCTTCGAGTTGCAATGCCTGCAAGAAAATTATGAGCGCGAGTGCAGCTGCTTCGAGCTCGATCTTCTCAAACATTGGTGATGGTTGCTGTGTAATAGTATTAATACAGCAGCGCTAGCAGATGGCATCCAAGTCGAGTGCAGACCAAGCGCCTTTCATTGACTTCCATTTTCTGTTTGGTTATGTTTGTCCCGCAGGCTTATGGCTTTGACATTAATATAGATGATGCAATTGCTCAGTAGTTGTCTAGTCGGTTGTCTAATTGGTTTGTTGGGTCTTACACCTTGGCGCGTTGGTGATAGCATGATGAGAAGACATTGATGAAAACGATGAATTAAAGGCAGGATAATCTTATGACAAATTCTAAAACACGTGTTGAGTCACAGCTGATGTCATGAGTGTTAAACTATGCTCAACTGCTTTTACACAGAGCATTCGAATTATATAGGTTGTTAGCCAAACACTTGGTGTTGCAATTAAGTCTGGAAAGACGAACCTCGATGTCGCGATACAGGACCAAACCCTACACAAATTGAGCGTGGACTGGTAAGATTGCGTACTGGATAATATGACAGGACGAAGGTGTTTGCGTAATCTATTTATCCAATTCCAGCGCAGAATTTGGACTGGATAAGCCAATAACAGATCGCTATCTTAGATCGCTGGCGCATTTCCTTTGCCATTCATTCCAGATTAATGTCATCAGTTTTAATTTTGCCTCATTAAATCAAGCGATTTACAAAACCTTAGACTATGAGCAGCGCTCGTTTCAAATACGTCGACGAGCATCATGGTTTTGGTACCATGGCAATTCACAAAGGCCAGGAGCCAGACAAGTACACAGGTGCTGTAGCTGTGCCCATCACACTGGCCAGCACTTTCGCACAATCGTCGCCCGGCGTCGTGACTGGTCGTGACCAGGCCAATTCATTTGGTAAGGGCTGGGAGTACTCACGAACAGGAAATCCTACACGCGGCGCCCTCGAACGTGCGCTTGCTGCTTGTGAAAAGGGCCGTTTTGCTGTATGCTACTCTTCTGGCATGGCTGCGACGACAGCAGTGACTCACTTGCTCAAGCATGGAGACCACGTATTGTGTATCGATGACGTGTACGGTGGTACCCAGCGGTACTTTTGTCAGACGGTCAACCCAACGTACGGCATCGAATTTGACTTTACGGACTTGGGAGATTTGAGTAAAGTGGAGAAACTGCTACGTCCGCAGACGAAACTTATCTGGGTCGAGAGCCCCACAAACCCTACACTTAAAATTACGGACATCCGTGCCGTATCGGAATTTGCACAGAAGCACAACTTACTGCTTGTTGTCGACAATACCTTCATGTCACCCTATTTCCAGAACCCGCTTACCTTGGGTGCTGACATTGTGCTGCATAGCATCACTAAGTACATCAATGGACACAGTGATGTGGTTGGCGGAGTTGTCATCACCGACTCAGAAGACATCAACACCAAGTTGCGCTTTATCCAGAATGGTATTGGAGCAATTCCGTCCCCATTTGATTGCTTCATGGCCCTCCGTGGCCTTAAGACATTGCATGTACGTATGGCTGCCCACGCCAAGAACGCCCAGGCAGTTGCCGAGTATTTAGAGGCGCATCCTGTCGTTGACAAGGTGTTCTATCCGGGTTTAAGGTCGCACCCACAGCACGATATTGCTAAGAAGCAGGCGTTAGGATTTGGTGGCATGGTCACATTCTACGTGCACGGTGGCCTCAACAAAGCACGCGCTTTCCTTGAAAACCTTGAAGTGTTTACACTAGCTGAGAGCCTTGGCGCTGTTGAGTCACTAGCGGAATCTCCCGCCATTATGACCCATGCCTCCGTGCCCTCTATTGTCCGTGAGAAGATTGGTGTCTCCGATAGCCTTATCCGCCTGTCCGTCGGCATTGAGGGACTGCCAGACATCATTGCTGACCTTGAACGTGCGCTAGCCGCTGAGCCAAAAGCTTTCTCTTAGATTGATAGATACAGTACTAAAAAGACAATATCTTATGCAATACATGTAGCTCTGCAAGATCATCTAATAATGCTGCCTATCTGAAAACGGATCGGCACGCCGTTCCACTGTCTGAGCCATGACACAGATACACAGTGTCTTGAAACTCGACCGAGAAAATTCGAAGTAGTGTGTGTCGTGACGACTTCTTGGCCAACGTATCATGCGTCGTATTAAACATTTCTGCATTTGAGCTTGTTCAAATTCAGCGAAAGCTGTCGATAGTAAACCACATACCAAACTGTCCAGTTATATAAGGCCCTGTGGACTATTTTACTATCATGTTTGCTTTATGCTGTCATTTAAACACTATAGCAACAGGCTGAACGTAAGGGCTACAGGAATGCAAAAACAAGGTGCCAAGTATGGGCGACAAGTGCAAGCAAGGGTTACACGATCACATAAGAAGCCTTAATTGAGTGCAAACAAACGAGTATTTTCTACCGCTAAAAAGTAATCTTCATTTTGGCTTTTGCTAGCAATAACAAGAATATTCGCATCAATTGGCCAATTTGGCTTACCATCACTGTCACGAACAAATTACCGGGTCGTTTACGACTTCATTACACCATTTCATGTTCAACTGTAAGCATAGCTATGCCCACTTGCGCTACATGCAGCTGTTGCTGTACTGTACACACTGACCCTCACAGAAGTAAGAGTTGTTGACTGGTGATGGAGTTCGATCTGAATCAGCTACCATCACACAAACAGTCAGTTGTGCCAAAACTCGGTCACGTCCAAAGGTGTATACCGGAGAAGTTAGTTCGTTCGCGAGGTAATTTGTCGGCTTTACATGTGATAAATACAGCATTGCCGTTATATCGCCTTGTTTTACTGGTTGATTTTGCTTGTAGTTGATCACTGATGAAATCATATTTGTCATCATATGCTCCGACCAAAATGTACCGTCCCATTATTTCAGTGCTGGTCCCAATATGTAGTTAGCATGTCCAATAGAATTTTCTTTCACTTCAATCACGCAGTAGCCAATCTGACCCAAAGAAGAATAAAAATATGATGAATGCAGATGCTCAGCTTGAAGACGTGTTACAGGAAAATGAAGAAACCCATCTCTACGATGAAATCATGCAACTTGGTCATCCTCCCGTTATATTATGGTGGCAACATGTCGATGAATTCATTCGAGCGATTGAAACTGCTCGAGCCGATGCGGAGGCTCCAGGAGCGGAATCCTTACCAACTGATCCACTTGCGTTGCCCGCCGTAGTGACTGCGAAAAGGTTCAAAGAAGCTGTAATCGACTACATTAAGCCCCAAGAGAACGCAGCTCGATTAGGTACATCGTGTCTGGTGTGTTCATTGCCGGAATCGGTAACGGTGGGGTACAAGTTGCGTGCTTTGGATGATAATCCCTGGGTTAAGCGTATGATTGCTTTTGGAGAGCCAAACATATTGCCAATCGCGCGTGTGTTCATGCCTCGCGGTCTTCGCGCGAGTGCACTTGACAAAGTGACGCCACGACTCAATCCAACCAGTTTGTGGGGGTGAAATGGTGAATAGCTTATCGTCGCATTGTTCCGTGATTTTGATAATCAGTGAAACCAATGGAAGTAATAAAGAAAAAAACACGGCCACGTCCTACTTAGAATACTTGTTTACATCGTTCATAACTAGATTGTCAAGGTAGAACGTGTAGTCGTTGTAATGCAGGATGGAACCTCCTAACATTTCCAATCGATACACAGCACTGCACATCTTAATGCAAACTCTGGAAAGGACTCCTCAGCATCCATTCCTTAATTATAAGCAAACCGCGACACTTGGGTCAGCAGTGTGTCCATAAGCAGCTTCCACCACCAAGTATCGAAAGAATTGCTAGGGCAACTGTTTATAATACAACGTATCCAGCCAGTCCTTACACAGCCGCGCCCATAGCGTTGCCCTCGGCTGGCGGCTAAATAGATATCGACAGACTACTCATGATCGAGCTAAACTCCGGCTTTTTAAGTTACACACGAGGCATCTCAACAAACGGCTGGGCGTCAATGGCTGCAAACAACTCGCGCAAGAAACAGGCGTCATACTGAGTATGTCGCGCATTAGTCTCGCAATGCCACTCCAAGACGTCTTCTGCTGTAACGGGGTTGTGTATTTTACATACACACCTGCCACACCAATGTGGTGTGGCCTATACCTTGGGTACAAGAGTAGGCTCGATGTGACCGTACCTAAGGTATGAAGGGGGCAGAGAGCCACGTGGTCACTATACTTTGTTAAGTATAGTGACTATGCATGTTTGCATAATAATATTGGGCTACAGAGCTACTAAGTATAGAGTAGGTGCTTCTATATTTAGTGCTAGAAGATAAACATGAATTAAATCGGTTTCAAACCGGCTCTGTATAGCACTAGTTGCTAGAGCGTTCTCTTCCGTATCGGAATTGTAATTTTGATACTAGTGTCTTGGAGACGCGGTTGCTTTCAACCAAAGGTAAGCTTGTTAAGCTAGCCTTGGAGAGGGTTAAGCACCCTAAGACATATAAGCTCTCTTAGCTTGTCTTCTTCTGCACATAGTGCATAGGTAGATTGGCTACAGCTGCTCGGCTACACCTCGTAGCACTCGTAGTCAATCCCGCACCTGGGTCTGCGGCTACTTCTCTGTGTGAGAATGGCAGCGATGAGATGTCAGCGGTTGGCCTGTCACAGGCACAACAGGAAGGGTTGCAGAAGCTGCTCTTTATCCTTGGCTTGAAGGGCGTGAAGTATCTCATTGACCAGGGCGAAGAAGAGGTTAACAGGCGTATTATTATGCTTGAAGAGTATAATAAAGCTCTAGTCGAGCATGTAAGGGCACAGATGCCTTCTTCTGCGCCTTTGCCTATGGCAACTATGGCGCAAAAAGTGGCCCGCAGACCAAAACCCATACATATGGAAGTCGATAAGCTCGAGTGCAAGGAAGGTGGCAGCCTTATGCTGTGGTTCCGACAGGTTGAGTCGGCTATGTTTATAGCTGACATCACCTATGAACCGTACCGTGTAGGGGCTTTGCCACGGATAAGTTGGGTGGATTAGCCAAGCAATAGCGTTCACATGCGGTGCATCACAGCAGGATGCATTTCCAACATGGGCCGATCTGAAAGTTCGGATGACCCGGCAGTATGCACCGCCAAACCAAGCACACCGTAACCGGTCGCGATCTTTGGCGTGTCGCCAAGGCAAGCATGAGCTTGCGGCATATGTGCAAATGGTTAAGAGCTCTTATTGCTGCCATGGTCATAAACCCTATGCCTGAGGCAGTGACCGTCACGGTCGTCATGAAGGGCCTCCGAGTTAGCGTTGCCAGAACCGAAGTCTCCCGGGTAAAACCGTCCTCATTCGAGGAAGCTGTTAGAGCGGCATGGAATGCCGAGACCAACTTTAAGGCCGTTAGGCCTGCCACTTATAACTACTCGTCTAATGTGTCTGTACCCATGGACTGTAGTCAAGTGGAGGATGAAGAGGCTGAGCTTCAAGCTGCGGAGCAGCTAATTGTGCGCAAATGTTATATCAGCAAGAGCACAGGTTATTTGATGGCAAAATGCCCTGCAAGAAAGGCACATATGGCCTCGAAGGGCCGACGCCCCATGTGTAAAATCTCTATTTTGCCGCGGAAAAACGGTGTGACCCAGTAGGCGCGGTCGCCCTACTGGGGAAGAACTGAGTTTTGTTTGAGCCTCTAGGAGGTAGAAGTAAACAGAGACCAGCCCCAAAGAGACCCGAACGCTCAAAAACGGAACGAGAATGCAAGACAGGCTTGCTAGTAGTCGAAGGGACGATCGAGGGATTTGATAAGCCATCGATCATTTTGATCGATTCGGGGGCATCTGCAATTATGTGCGTCGTGCCACCGCGGAAGGTAGTCAGAAGTATTCTGAAGCGCTTAGAGCGTGAGAGTGACACAGTCACAGTTCGCTTAGCGACGGGTACGCGTGTTACGGTACCCAAAGTCCCGATGGACTTAAATGTAAAGTTCTTGGAATATAACAGCATGGAACGCTGTTTGGTCTTAGACCTGGATGCGAGGTATGACCTCATCCTAGGTCTGGCATGGCTAGAACATCATGAGCCATGGGTTGATTGGAGGTCGAAGACCTTAGGCGCAACGCGCAATGCTCCTGGTGAGGCTCTGGAGAGTCATGAACCCACCTCTGCTAGAAAGAAAAAGCGCTTTTGGAGCGGATATTGGACCGAGTCGGTCAATATGTTGGATGTCGGAATATCCAACTTGGCAGACACTGTAAGTGTCGAGGACAATAGCCCTGGTCGAGACCCAATGCCTGTCGATAGTGTGGTTGAGAACCCACCAGATGGCACATATGAACATGTGTCAGAAGAATGATGTTACATCATTAAACACCGTGAGTGGTGTTGGTGGCTGCAAGCCAAGATGTCAGGACACGAGTCCAAGTGACATAAGTGACGAGGTACTGCCTGGAGTGTCGGGTGAAGTCATCAATTGGATGTTGTCTTTGAGGACAACGAGGTGCATGCATCTAGTGACGAGGTACTGGATCAAGAGGGTTGGGTGAAGTCTACCATGGATGTTATCTTTGTGGACAACGAGGTGGGAACACCTCATGACGAGGCCTTGCCCCAAGAGGATGGGGTGCAGTCATTAAAAGAAGTGGTCTTTGACCTGAGGCGTGTACACCTGTGGACGCTGATGCGTCGGATAAGTGGCGAATAGTACATGATTACAATAAGCTGAATGCAGCCACTATCCCGACTCAAACACCAATTCCTCGCAAGGATGTTTTCAGAACAATATGGTGGGATGTACGATGTACATTGCTCACGATGGGTATTACCAACTGCTCTTGCGAGCTAGTGATATCTCGCTGACAGCGGTCAGCACTCCGAGCAGTATGCTCTGGGAGTGGTTAGCGATGTCCCAAGAGCTGTCTAACGCACCTGCAACGTGCAATCGTCGAGTGACGCAGTTGTTTCGGCTCCATAGG